ATATATATATATATTTCACAATTATTCAACGTGCTCATCAACTTTCTTGCTCAACAAATATCAAGAATCATCATATTTCAATCATGTCTCTTACATCAATTTTTATATTATCATATAAATCACATTAACATCACATAAAACTTAATATACTCATATACAGTTCATCACTATGCGTAATCTATAATTTATAATCAAGAGTATGCACATCAATACCAACCCTTAATCTCCTTACTCGAATCATGTCACAATTAACAAAGTCACAAATTATAGGATCTCATCAAAGCCACAATATGCATTACAAACAACAATTCAAGATTTGGATACACACACACACATATTCATTTGTTTTACGGACATAAATACTTAATTAACACACAACTACATAAAATAAATTTTTCTTAGTTACCTCAACCTTTGAGAAGTCAAAGGTTACTCCTTAAGTTACAACACTTTCAAAGTTTTCCAAAGCTTGAATGGTGTCAAAAGAAAATTAATCTACAATTGATCATATCTTGATGTGTCAATAATATTATTAACACAATTTTCACTCATATTCCAATACCTAAGTATTTATTTTATTTTATTTCATTTTTTAAGACCTTAGTCTTAGCCTCTTGAGTTTTAAAATTTAATTTCATGTATTTGAACTTATCTATTTAGTTCAATAGCCTCCTTCACAATAATTTCATTGAAGTTTGGCTAAAAACGTCATTCAAATAATTTTTTAATATCAAAATTTTTCTTTTTATTCTAAAATTTCGCACCTAAAAATACTTAAAAATTGTAAACTTAATCTCAAGTTTAGAATCATTATTCTATAGCCATAATAATTTATTTTTCATCCCAAATAATCGTCTAAGCATCAACAAATTAATTTATATTTTCAGATTTAACCAAAAATCTACCTATAGAGATCTAGGGATCAACTCAAAGGCCTCAAATTCAAATTCTATCAACAAAATAATATTCTAAAATATTTATTACATTACCAACAACCTCAATAATCAAATTTACTTATCAAAAATTGTATCCCCCTCTCAAACTCTAGGTTTCTCATAATCTGCAAATCAAAAACTAAAGGGAAAATCTAACTAAGAAAAATATTTGAGATACTTATATAGTCTTAAAATACTTGAAATCTTAATTGAAATATTTTATTATAGAGCTTTATTTTTTAAATCAGTTTCCATCGGCGACTGCACAGCAGTGTTTCCGTTCTCACTGTCGGCCACAAAGAGAAATGAGGAATGGGAAGAGAAAATAAAATGAGAAGGGAAAGTGTGTTGTTTTAAAATAAAAGGTGTGAATCCCGCGTAGTAATTCACACCACACCCTCTCTTCTTTGTTTTCTCCAATACACACAACTAACACACACGAAAACGGCTAGTCATCCGCCCCCTTTTTCTCATTTTTATTTTTATTTTATGTTCCTTCCTTCTTCTTCTTCTTTCTTACTTCTTTTTTTTTTTAATAATATTACACACTATACACACATGTAAAAACATCCATTTCCCATCTATTTCTCTTGTTTTTTTTCTTTTATATAATAAAAATTTCTATTTTTTTAAAAAATTATAACTTAGAATTTGAATTTATTCTAAATTAAATCCAACAATAATCCCTTAACTAAAATTATTTATCTCTAAATACTCTTCTAAATTTATTTATTTATTCTTGATTAACCTAATTAATTTTAAGTTAAATTTTGGAATGTTACACATTCCCACAACAGAGAGAGTTCTGGTAAACCCATTAGGGACATTGTAGGAGAGAATGTTATTCTATATTTTTTTTTTGAAACATCTATAGGTTTGGTGTTGATGTGGTTACATTGACCCAAAAAGACTTTTTTTAATGTTAAAAGACTCTTATCATATTTTTAGTATTTCAAAAATTATAATTTATACAAAAGCTGAAACCATTTTAGTCTAAAAATTACTATAATACAACAATTAAACAATATATAATTTTTTTCATCTAACATTTTATGTGTGGGCGTAAGAGAATTTGTCCAACACTAAACCAAACTAAACGTCTTCCTTTTTCCCTCTATGATCTCACCATTGGGACCCATATAATATTTGGAACGGGTTTGCGTGTTCATCATTGTGATGAAATCTGGACCATTTATATTTTGATCTGGATGATCTAGATTTAAAAAATTATTATATATTTTTATTTTTATTTTTATTAAAATAAAATTTATAAAAATTATAAAATAATTTTAATAATTTTTTATTTTTAATATGATATAAATTTAATTTAGAGGGTCTAATTTAATATTAAAATTTTTATAATTATTATATATTAATTATCCAAATATACTTTGCACAATTTAAATTTAATTTGATGTTAATCTAGTCTGTGCAGAATACATTTAAATAGTCAATATATATGAATTATAAAATTTTTAATATTAAATTGGACTTTCTAAGTTAAATTTAAATCATATTAAAAATAAAAAATTATTAAAATTAATTTATAATTTTTATGTATTTTTATTTTAATAAATATAATATATAATAATTTTTTAAATTTGGACCATCCAGATCTCTGGGTGATCTAAATTTCATCACAGTGATGAGCACGCAAACCTAACCCTGTAATATACTCGTAGTCCATGAATACAGAGAGAGGATAAACTGATTCTCATTTTCTCAACCATTGAAGGCTCCAGGTAACTGAAACCAAGAAACACACTGAAACAGCACATGATTTTATTAATTAAAGTAGCAAAAGGAAACTGATATTACATAAACCACAACAACAACAACACACAAGTAGCCTGACACGAAGGGAAACATGCAAATAGTAGCTTTGAGAATCAGCCTGACGAAGTCCGAGTGGTGATGATAATGGAGTGATGATGGAGAATCATTGTTTACTTGTTGGTCGGAGGTGGCTTCTCCCCATAGCCCATCAGGTCGCCTATGGTCAGCTTTTTGCTGCTTCCCTTTGATGATTTGTTTCCATTATCATCAGAAACATAAGTGCTTCCATAACCTAAATGATCTCCTATGCAGCTTTTCTTGCCCTTGGATGGTTTGTTTCCATTATCATCGCAAACATACCTGCTTCCATAGCCTAAATGATCTCCGATGCACTTTTTTCCCTTGGAATTATTTGATGAACTCATCGTCCCTGCATATTATAGCAATTATAACTCATGGTTATAATTCTTTTCTGCAACAATTTATTATTGTTATTATTAATTTTGTAGTCTTCGATGAAGTGGGAAAATAGAGCTTCGTCGTAATCTCTTGCGGGAGCTTCCGTTGGGTATGTCAAACGTCCCGACGAGCCAGACCCTCGCCTCCTGGTGAGGATCCCAAATCTCAACCGCTCCCCACCTCAATGGTCTCTACCTTACTCCTCTCCTTGCTTTCTTCGGGCATCGCTGTCGTCTATGTCAAAAGGAATTGCAGTTGAAGATGATTGTCCCTGAGAAGGAACTCTGAAGTCGCTCAAAGCTCCATATACAGAGCTCTGTTAGTCACGTGCACGTTCGTGGCCAACCAAGGAGGCCATAGAAAAAGATGCAGAGCTCAGAAAGAGCTTGAAGAAAGAGGAGAAGGAGAAGGTTTGCCAAAAGTCAAAAGATGACATCACAAAGATCCATTTATGGCGCCTCTGGCCACCGGATCATGACCCCACATGCGTCAGCGCCAAAACCATCAGCCGTGCTGCTTCTATATCCATAAAGCGCAGACCTTCTCCTCCGCCTCCGCCATTGCTAAAGCTTCGTCCAATGCATCTTCATTATCGGCGGCCCTGTCATGGGCCATAAACCTCGCCAACTCGCCTGACCCTCGTTGATGGATAACCCAGGAGGTGGCAGAACCAGAGGTAGAGCTCAAAAAGAGCTTGAAGAGAAGAAGAAGACGAGGAAGAGGAAGAAGAAGGCTGGCCAAAAGCTAACGTCACGGAGCAAGAGGAAGAGTAAGAAGAAGATGACGAAGTAGAAGAGGAAGAGGAAGAGGGGGAGGAGGTGGAGGTGGAGGACACCAACGACGATGAAGACGAAGAGGAAGAGGAAGAGGAAGGAAAAGAAGAAGAAGGAGAGTTAGGAGGCCGAAAAGAAAGAAGGCTGGCCAAAAGAAGAGGACGAGGACGAGGACGGCACGCCCTCGACCAAGAACAGGAAGAAGAGGAAGGGGAAGAGGAAGAGGGGGAAGAGTAGGAAGACAGCGACGACAAAGGGAAAGAGGAAGAAGAAGAAGAAGATGATGATGATGAAGGGGAAGAGGATGAAGATGAAGAAGAGGAAGAGGAGGAAGGCTGGCCAAAGACTGGCCTCACAGGAATCTATCCGAGGCGCCTCTCTGGTTATACACACGCACGCACGCACTGGGAACTTGCAAACTTTACCTGCAGCGCGGAGACTGGGGATTGCGTCGGAACTTATAAACGCCGATGACCTAAAAGAACTGAGAGCTTAATAATGCGTATACCAAAGATTTAAGCTGTCATTCTATGAAGAACTCAAGATTCTATGACACTGTGATATGAATATATACAGAAAGTGGGTGGCTATTGCAAGCAGGAACGAGACCAGAGAAAAAGTGGGTTACCCCACGTTGTGGGGACATGTCACGTCCACTATATCGAGTCAGCAGATGATTGGTGAGCTGAACCATGACGTGGCAATACCCAATGACGGTCACACGGATTTGGCTGTTTTGCGTAGAAGCACTCGTCCAAGAACACTCACGTGGAAGTTACGAGAGGGGCAAGAGGGATAAAATGCATGTGCATGCAATGAGTGGAAAACAGTGTGTGATTGTAATTGGTCTCTCTCTCCTTTCTGTTATTCCTCCTCCTTTCTCTGGTAATTCTGTTCTGTTATCGTTTCCTTTTCGGAACCACACTTCTGCTGTATTGTTTTCTGATGAACTTCGCAATGCAATTTACTGATTAATACCAGAAGAATTTCCCATATTTTGTTGTATTCATTTTATTTCCTGAGATAAGGTGTGACAAGGTGCTCTCGTTGAGAGACGATGGCAGAGAATACGAGGCTGAAGGAGTTATCAAATGACCTGAAGAGTCTGCAGCTTGATATGCAGTGCATGCGCGACATTGTGGAGAGAACAGAGACTGAGAGCAAGAATATGCGTGAGTTAGTAGAACGAATAGAGGCTGCCAGTAATTCACGTTTGGAGCGCTTGGAGAAGGCTATTGGTGATTTCCTCCAAGCTCCGAATCCTAGAGTTGATAAGCTTGAGGCCACTATAGAGAATTTGGTGCGACAACCCAATCCTCGGCATGAGAAACTTGAAGCTAGAGTTGAGACTCTGGTTCGAATGGTTGAGGCTACACAAAGAGATAATGAAGCACGCAAGGTGTTGCAAATAGGCAGCTCAGATGGAGGAAGCGGAGCGAACAGCTACATGAATCAGCGACAGGTAAAAATCGATTTCCCTCGGTTTGATGGCACTGACCCCCATGGATGGATTTTCCGTGCAGAGCAGTACTTCGCATTTTATCAGATGACCACGCCTCAGAGAATTATTTTGGCATCAATTCATATGGATGGAGCGGCAATACCCTGGTTCCAGATGATGCTAAAATCGAACCTACTAACTACATGGGAAAGTCTCACCCAAGCTATTGAAGCTCATTTCGGCCCTACGCAATTCGAACATCCGAGATCACAGTTATTCAAGCTTACTCAGACAGATTCATTGGACTCCTACCACCAACAATTTATGACTCTTGCTAATCGAACTGAAGGAGTGACTGACGACGCTCTTTTGGATTGTTTTGTTGGGGGTCTTAAGCCAAAGTTACGTCGAGAAGTGGTTGCTCGTTCTCCGGGAAATTTATTGAAGGCAGTAAGCCTAGCTCGATTGTTTAATGAGAAATATCATCTGGGAAATTGGGTAAGCAAGGGCAAGGGACACATTGGTGTGGCTGGAAATGCCGTCCCTCTATCAAATAAGCCTGTCACAACAACGACGGCTGTTGCGGGGTCGTCTTTCATTAAACCATCGACTGTTCCATTACTGCCCACACCCAATATTAAGCCATTGACGGCTGTACGTAAAATTACACCCGCAGAAATGCAGATCCGGCGAGAGAAAGGTTTGTGTTACACTTGTGATGAGAAATTTTCTCCAAATCACAAATGCATGAATCGACAATATATGTGGTTGCAAAATGAAGATGATAAAGAGGAACCGGAGTCCCCACCGTCCCTTACAGCTACAGATACGCCAAAAATAGAGGACACAGCTACCTACCATCACATCTCACTACAGGCTTATAATGGGACTGCAGGGCGAACTACAATACGGTTCTCTGGGATAGTCAAGGGCATGTCCGTACAGGTCTTGCTTGATGGCGGAAGTTCTGATAGTTATATTCATCCCAGAGTAGTTAAACACCTCAAGGTACCGGTGGAGCCAATTAAGTCCATGAAGGTTTTGGTAGGAAATGGACAATTAATGCAAGGATTGGGCTTGGTAAGGGAACTTCCAGTCCAAATCTGTGGACAAGTGATTTTGATTTCTGCATATGTCCTTGAGATAGCCGGATCAGACATTGTGATAGGCTCGGATTGGCTCGCTACCCTTGGCCCACATGTGGCAGACTATAGTAATGCCACAATCAAGTTTTTGGCCCATAATAATTTCGTCACTTTAAAAGGGCAAAAGGATGCTAGGTGTGAGATGACCCAACTCCACCAACTTCATCGAATTCATATGACAAAAGGCATCAGTGAAGTGTATCTGGTGCAGATGATGGCCTTGGAAAGTTTATTAAGTCTTGACAAGTCCGACGTATTGCAAGAAGATTTGGATACTGTGCTTTCTAAATACTCAATTGTTTTTGAGACCCCACACGAGCTTCCACCCTCAAGGGAATGTGACCACAGAATTATTTTACAACCAGGAACAGGGCCTGTTAAGGTCCGCCCGTACCGCTATCCTTTTAGTCAAAAGGCAGAAATTGAACGTATGGTTGAAGAGTTGTTACAAGATGGATTTATTCAGCCAAGTGTTAGCCCGTTCTCAGCGCCTGTACTCCTGGTTAAGAAAAAGGATGGTTCCTGGAGAATGTGTGTTGATTACAGAGCTCTGAATGCGATCACAGTAAAAGACTCTTTTCCTATGCCAACAGTGGATGAACTTTTAGATGAGTTAGGTGGCTCAAAATATTACTCAAAGCTTGATCTTCGTGCTGGTTATCACCAAGTTCGGATGCATGAAGCAGACCGAGACAAAACGGCATTTCGAACTCATCAAGGATTGTACGAATGGCTTGTCATGCCATTTGGCCTCACCAATGCTCCTGCTACATTTCAAGCTTTGATGAATTCTGTTTTTAAAGCTTATTTACGCAAATTTGTACTTATATTTTTTGATGACATTCTTATATACAGTGCCACTTGGTCTCAGCATCTCGAACATATTGGGTTAGTGCTAGAGCAATTAGTTGCTCACCAATTATATGCAAAGAAATCAAAGTGTTCTTTTGGCCAGACACAAATTGAATATTTGGGTCATGTGGTAGCGGCAAATGGCGTGTCTATGGATCTTTCAAAAGTGGCAGCAGTACAACAATGGCCAACACCTGCAAATGTCTCCCAACTCAGGGGATTTCTTGGGTTGACCGGATACTACCGAAGATTCATTCATAAATATGCTTCGATAGCACAGCCCTTAACTCGATTATTGCAGAAAAATGGGTTCATTTGGACTAATGAGGCACAATCGGCATTCGACTTGCTTAAAAAAGCTTTGACCGAGGCCCCTGTTTTGGCTCTCCCAGATTTTTCTTTGCCATTTGTGGTTGAAACGGATGCCTCAGGGTGTGCGATTGGGGCGGTATTAAGTCAAAATGGACACCCTATTGTCTATTTCTCGAAACAACTTTCCTCTCAGATGCAAGCTCAGTCAGCCTATGTTCGGGAATTATTTGCTATCACGCAGGCTGTGGCAAAGTTTTGACATTATTTGTTTGGTCACCCTTTTGTTATTCGCACTGATCAAGAGAGCCTTAAACACCTTGATAAGCAGGTTCTTCAGACCCCTGAACAAGAGCTTTATCTACCCAAGTTACTAGGATACAGGTTTGCCATTGAGTATCGACCGGGTAAAACAAATTTGGCAGCTGATTCCTGTCCAGAGTGACTTATATGGCCATACAGCAACTCCACTCCTCATTATTTGATGACATAATCATGGCAGCTCGTCAGTCAGATAGACTTCAGCGACTCCGCACTCAAGTGCTTCAGGAACCAAGTTCTTATCCTAATTACCAAGTCATGGAAGGTGTCTTGTATTTCAAGAGTCGAGTGGTGGTGCCTCATGAGGATTCACACTTAGTCCAACGTATCTTGCAAGAATTCCATGCATCGATTATAGGAGGTCATGCCGGTGCATTTCGAACATTTCGCCGTTTAGCCGCTAATGTGTATTGGCCCACTATGCGAAGAGACGTTCAAGTCTTCGTAAAAGAATGTCTCACTTGTCAGCGTGCCAAAGTAGCTCAGATTTCTCCAGCTGGCCTTCTTTGCCCACTTCCAATTCCATCACAAATATGGGACTCCGTGGCAATGGATTTTATCACCTCTTTACCCCCTACACGTGGGTATACAGTAATCATGGTGATGATAGATCGCCTTTCTAAGTATGCACATTTTGCACCTTTGAGTGCCCATTACACTAGTAAACAAGTAGCTGAAGTATTTCTCTCCCATGTTATACGTCTGCATGGAATGCCACAGTCAATTGTATCCGATCGGGATAAAGTTTTCACAAGCTCCTTTTGGCGTGCCTTATGCCAGCTTCAAGGAATTCAGTTGCAAATGAGTTCAGCTTACCATCCAGAAACTGATGGCCAATCTGAAGCATTGAATCGTTGTGTCGAAATGTACTTGCGGTGTTTTGTCCAGGAGTGTCCTAAGCGTTGGTTAGAACTGCTACCATGGTCTGAGTTTAGCTACAACACCTCTTTTCACTCGGCTATTGGCATGACACCCTTTAAGGCTGTCTATGGCCGTGAACCACCCTTATTAGTTCGTGGGTACACCTCAGCTGATACACCTCCGGACATACATGCTTTACTGCGTGAACGTGATTTACTCCTCACTACTCTCAAGCTTAATCTACAATGTGCCCAGAACCGTATGAAACGTTATGCAGACCGTCACCGTCAGGAGGATACATTTCAGGTTGGAGACTTTGTGTTGGTCAAGCTGCAACCATATCGTCAGCACTCTGTTGCATTACGGAAACATCAGAAGCTGGGTTTTAAATATTTTGGTCCCTTCAAGGTCATTGAGCGGATTGGTACTGTCGGTTATCGTCTTGAACTTCCTCCAAGTGCTCGAATTCACACGGTGTTCCATATCTCCTTGTTGAAACGATGTTATGGGGATGTCACCTTGGCCTATGTACCACTTTCGTTGCTCGCAGATGTTGATGGCCCTCAAGTTCAACCTTTGGAAGTTTTACAAACGCGACAAGTTCAACACGATGATTCTTCTGTCACGCAGGCGTTAATCCGCTGGGAGGGTATTTCTGAGCCCACGTGGGAGGATTTACAATCTTTCCTGCATAATTACCCTGCTTTTGACCTTGGGGACAAGGTCACGCTCGTTGGGGAGGGCAATGTCACGTCCACTATATCGAGTCAGCAGATGATTGGTGAGCTGAACCATGACGTGGCGATACCCAATGACGGTCACACGAATTTGGCTGTTTTGCGTAGAAGCACTCGTCCAAGAACACTCACATGGAAGTTACGAGAGGGGCAAGAGGGATAAAATGCATGTGCATGCAATGAGTGGAAAACAGTATGTGATTGTAATTGGTCTCTCTCTCCTTTCTGTTATTCCTCCTCCTTTCTCTGGTAATTCTGTTCTGTTATCGTTTCCTTTTCGGAACCACACTTCTGCTGTATTGTTTTCTGATGAACTTCGCAATGCAATTTACTGATTAATACCAGAAGAATTTCCCATATTTTGTTGTATTCATTTTATTTCCTGAGATAAGGTGTGACAGGACATGAGGCAGAAAAAGCTTGCCATCTTTGATTCATTGTTCTTGCCACTCCCCTATTTTCTGATATGCAAGGGAAGTGTAACTCACACACCACACACACACTTTCCCCCTCAACACCTGGGGATTTGGCAGCACAATCTCCCCTTCTGAGGGGAGCATGGGGTGCCAATTGAGCTGCAAGGCTCTTGGCTTATGCTTTCAGAGTTTGACGTGATGGGAAGATGTGATTGTTTTTTTTTAATTATGAGAATTGATATTTTGCAAAACATATTTTGAAAATAAAAAAAAACTGGTTTAAATAATTATTCTTGAAAATTATATTTAAAAACTAAAAATGTAAAAAAAAATTGATAAATTGGTCCAAAAACATGTTTTGAGAATTGAAAAAAAAAACTTGCTTTCAAAGTTTGACCTAATGGGTGCATTCCTCTAGGATGTTTGAGACAATATTTAGAAGATAAGCAACATACTAGTTAGTGTGTTTCTTGCCTTTAACTAATGGGGCAGTGGTTTTTTGCCTTTAACTACTTCTTGTTGGTACGTGTCTTTGGTTTATTATGTTTTTACATTCTATTTGAATGAGAACATGTATTCTAGTTCATATTTAAAAAAAAAAAAAGTTTGATATAATGGGATGCTGCCAGTTCCAAGCAATGGGTTTCACTGATGTCTCACGAGCAGATCCTGACAACTAGAAAAGTAAGGGAGATGCTCTTAGCCTTACCCAGCAATATGGTGGTTCTACAGCTAACAATACTCCCAGAAGAACAAGAATTCATTAGTTTTGTTGTCCTTCACTTCTCAGACTAGCATGTTTCTCTTAAATTTAATCCCCCAACACTTTTTTGAATAACAAGAACTTAACTCTCAATTAACGAGCGAGATTAGTATAATGACATACTAATTACCTTTTTTTGTGTCTTAGAGTGAACTCAATTGTTGATATAATATATCAGACACCTCAAATATACATATAATCAAAAAGGCAAGGTCAAATACATTCTAAATTAGCATTTCTTCCACACTGTCGAATGTGTTCTGTTCCTTTTCCCTCCCTTTCTCTGGTATGTTGGTACATCAGCTTAACCTTCCGTAGATATATAAGGCTAATTGCGAATAAATATTACCAATACTCAACATACATGTTTTTGTCAATTCCCACTCTTTTTTTTTTTTATTCCATTGCCTGATATTCTAGAAAACGTGAGAGTATTATCACTTTCCATTTAAATTATTCGAACTCCAGTTATATGTGACTGATATTACCAATGATGACCTCAAGGGTATTTTAAGGATATCTTTGATATATTTATTTAACATGGCTGCATATATCAAGATTGGAACTTAAAACTTCAATTCAGGCAATAAAAAAAAAAGAATCTAAACTTCAAGACAAACTAATTTAACTTTATTAATCAACATATTTATTTACGGCGTACACATTCCACCTTTTTTCAGAGGGAGAATTTCAACTAGGGCCTCAGAAACAAATTAATTATATGCAAGATTCAAAAAATTCTGAAATACTTTTCCAAGCCCAAGGGCTGAAATTACAATTAATTTTGTGAGTCCATTTACCAAAATGCCCTTACCTTTTATTTTTTTTTAAAAAAAAAAGTGTCCTCTCACCTGCCACGGGAGCCACCAAGATATATGTTATAACTAGAAGAAATTGGGTTTTAAAAATTTGACAATCTTTTTTGTATGAATAAGTAATGTTTGAATATGTACAAATGATTGTTCTTATATATGCAATAAGATGTCCATGATTAATAAAAACCCATGAAAATATTTAAAAAATAAATTTATAACACATATTTTTTATTTAGCATAATATTGATAACTTGATAACATTGAAGGAACAAGTTATGAAAAGAACAAGTGATGTTCGAATATGTACGAAAGAATAAGTGGCTAAAGTATATTTTTTATTCTCTAATTTTTGAGTTCATAATTGGTTGGGTTTGACATATATACACACTAATTCATTCACTTTTTTTAATTATATATAGAATAAATTCAGTCACCAGGGATTCACTTTTTTTTGCCTTAAATTTCTTGAGGAAAAATTACTAGAATACACTTTTTATTTAGAAAAATGGAGTGACGCAGATCAAACGAGAAGCGAAGCATTGTTTATTTGGGACCTGACCGGCGCCTCTCTCCCTTTTATTCTTTCCTGTGCTCACTGGGATTTTGTTTCTATTTTTTTTTTCATTTTTTGTATTTTTTTTTTTTTGTTTCTAAAGGTGGGAGCCAAGTGTGAACTGCAAGAGGTTGTTTCGGAGGCAAATCCTCCTCATCATTCTTTCTCATTTTCTTCTCCTCACATCTTCACCCTTAGATTAAAAAAATGAATAATTTAAATTTAATTATTTTATAAAATAATTACCATTATATTACATTAAAAAATAAACAAATAAATTTTAACATGCACAGTTTATAAGTACAATAAAATAAATAAATAAAATTAATTTATAATTCTTAATAATAGTATACAGCTATAAGGTGTGTGCTGCATTGGTTAAATTTCAACAGTTTAAATTTTTATTTATTTATTTTTATATAGTATTATGATAATTTTTTTTTTGTAAAACAATTAAATCTAAACAATTCATTTTGTTATTTAAGGAGGAGATGGGATGAGGAGGGGGAAAAAAAAAAAGGAGAAAGGGGATGAGGAGAGGATCCGGACCCTTTTCCATGCTTTTCTACTATTTATTCGCTAGTTAAAAACAACTACTAGTATTTTTTTGGGAAGAATTACATCAAAAAACCTAGAAAAAAATTTATTTACAAACAAGAACTAATAAGAAGTGTATTATTGTTAAAATAAAAATATTGACTTATTTTTTTAATGGAACTTATTATTAGTCTTTATCTGTAAATAAATTTCTTAGCAATTCTTTGAATGTGATTTTTTTATTTTTTAAGAGAGAAAGAGTGCAAGAGGGTGGGGGTAGAGGAGGAGAGAACTTTGTAATCAAGCTGCTACTAGTGCTGGAGACGAAATACACCTAGCCTTTAAAAATGGAGTTCTTGGACTCAACTTTGGAGCTGTTATATGGTGCCAACAATGTGATGAGATTTAAACAATTCAAATTTAAATTTTTTTATTTTTATTA